CTGTCCCTGTGGGCCTTTGTGCTCGCCTTTTGATCCCTTTGGGATACAGACCTAGTAGCAGGATCACCGAGTCAAAGCTAGGTCAAGCTGCACAGTTCGACAGCTTTGTGGGCATCGCTCTAAATTGTTTTCCAGCATGGCAGGAGCAGATCCTATTCTAGCCCCAGTGCTTTAATGCACCTGTTTTCCAGCAGCCCTGCTGATATTTATCAAATGCTTTTGTAAGATCTAGGTAAACTGTTTTTGTAGCATTCCCCTGGTCTACGAGTTTGGTAACGCCAGCAGAAAGGAAATCACCCTGGTCTGGTCTACTTGTTCTTGACGATGCCGTGCTGGTTTTTTCGATCATCTCTTCTTTTCTACGCTGTTCATGACCCATCTCTTCAGTAACATGTTGTAGAATTTTACAAGGCATCGAAGTCAAGCTTGCTAGCTTGTAGTTTGCAGATTCCTTTCTCTTTCCTTTTTTATGAATTATGATAACGTTTGCCTTTCTCCAGTCCTGCAGCACCTCCCCCGTTCTTCACGATCCTTCAAATGTCACTGAAAGTGGTTCAGCATTCTCATTTGCCTTTTTTTTTCCATTACCCAAGGAGCTAAGTTATCTGAGCCAGCTAATGCAGTTTCATCAAGGAGGACTAAGCATTCTCTTACCATTTCTTCATTTATCTTGGGTATCTACTTCCTTTTGTCCATTCTTTTTGGCAAAGAGAATAGAAACAGAACTCTTTAACCAGACTGTGCGTAGCTTTGGCAGCAGACAAAGCCTGTGTCTGATGGATGCCTCATGTGATTGCTTCTTGGTCATATACCCAAAAGAATTCTAAATTGGATTGAATCAGACTTTCCTTGGATCTGGTGTATTTATCACCATTTTAGTCAGGTCAATAGTATGCCTCTTGTTAAGCAGTCAATAAACATTTATTAAGCATGTACTCTATGCAAAGCACTGTTGCGGTAGAAATGAGGCTGTTGGATTGGACATTCCTACCCAATCCTGGACAGTATTGCCTTTAAAGAGCTTGTATTCTAATGGAGGGGAGGAGGGCAGACAGCGTATAGCTCAGATAGGGCAAGTGGCCAGGGAAGAGAGTTTTGATCTCTCCGGGCACAGAGGTTATAAGTGGCTCTCTAGGGCAGTTGCTTGTCATGCTTGATTTTATGGAGGATTTGGGGCCAGTTATGGGTTGGACTGAATGGCATGTTAGCGATGATGGAGTCTGATCCCTTTCTGTTATAAATAAGAATGCTTGTGATAACTTCTTTAAAACGATTTACTCTACAACTTTATGGTAAAGAGACTGTAATGTAACGTGGCCCTAGTGAATCCATTATGTTGATGTTGAATGTGCAGGAAAAAAAGATTATTTTAAAAATAGAGATGAAACATGATAGGAATTAGGACTTTTAAACTGCATAAGATCGTAGCAATAGCCATCTCTCACATCATTCACATGCAGCTGTATCCCGTACAGAGTTGTCTGGACTGGTCTCATTTTGCAGTAACGTTGTTCGTACAGCCTGATGTCGCAGACCCTGGCTAGAATGCCTTTGGCTTTTGACCCACTAACAGTACTGGAGCTTGTTCTCCCCAGAACTTTGTTTGGGCAGAACTCTGTTGTGTCTGTCGGAAGGGCTTTAGAGCTTATTTTGTTTCCTCACAGCAGCGCTGTGAGAAAAATAGCGTGGATATGCATCATTCTTCCTACAGAGAGGGCAAGTGAAGCTGCAGGGGTGGGATGAGTGGCATTTCAGTAGTCGGAGATCATAGATTTGGAGCTGAAGAGACCTCTGAGGTCCCCTTCTCAGACTCCCATTTTACACAGGGAGAAACTTGCACCCGAGTGCTTAAGTGACTTGCCCGAGGTTCCATTGCTCACCCAGTGGCCGAGTAGGCCTTGGAAGTCTTGTCCTCTGCCCAGAGTTGAGCATTCTGTCCCCTGCCACATGCTGTCCCCCACTCAGGGAGGGATGGAGCTGGTTCTCACAGCCTGAGGGTCGTCCGTGACTTCTCTCACACTCTCGCCCACCCACCACCAATCTTTTGCCAAATCCTGATGATTTTTCCTTGAAATATCTTTTTTTTTTTTTGCTAGGCGATGGGGTTAAGTGATTTGCCCAGGATCCAACAGCTAGTTAAGTGTCAAATGTCTGAGGTAGGATTTGAACTCAGGTCCTCCTGACCCCAGGGCTGGTGCTCTATCCGATGTGCCACCTAGCCGCCCCCTGAAACTTCTCTTATATACCTCCCTCTCTCCTCTGACACTGCCCGCCAGGGCCAGGTGCAGGCCCTCATTGGCTCATGCCTAGACTCCCACTGCTGGTTGGTTTCCTTGCCCAAAATCTATTCTCACTCCCACTCATTTTCCATCTAATTGTCAAATTAATCTTCCTAAAGTGCAGGTTTGACCATGCTAACCCCCTATTTAAAAAACTCCAATGATTCCCTCTCACCCCCACAATCAAAAGTAAAATCCTGTCTTGGCATTCAAAGCCCTAACTCCTTACACCTCACACCCTAACTCCCCACCCCACGTCTGCTGTCGCTGGCTTTCTTGCTGTTTCTTGCTCCTGACACTCTGTCATCTCCTGACTGAGTGTTTTCACTGGCTGCCCTCCACCCCTGGAGCGCTCTTCTTCCTCTTCACCTACAAGGCCTTTCAAGTGCCAGCTCAAATCCTCCCTTCTACACCCCCCCCCCCCCCCCCCCGGCATTAGACTGTGAGTTTCTTGAGAACAGAGGCAGCCTTTGCCTTGTATCCCTAGCACTTAGCACAGTGCTCGGCACATAGCGAGCACTTAATCAAAGCTTCTGGACTTGACTTCTGACTTCCAGGGTCTTCCTCTTTCCACTATGGCACGGAGCCTCTTGAGTAAAGACAAGCTATGTAAAAAGTAGGAAGTGAGGGGCAGCTGGGTAGCGCAGTGGATAAAGCACGGACCCTAGAATCAGGAGGACCTGAGTTCAAATCTGCCCTCAGACACATGATACTTACCAGCTGTGTGACCCTGGGCAAGTCACTTAACTCTGATTGCCTCGCCAAAAAAAAAAAAAAAGGTAGGAAGTGAGTTTCATAAGAACATGTAGCTATATGCACAACCTTTCTTAGGGATTTTGATGTTATGATTATTTTTAGCGTTGGATTATCAAGGAAAAGTAAATTTAGGATTGGGATCTGAGTGTGAAGGCAATGAATAATAAGGAAGAAAAATCTGTTTTTCATTTGATGGCTCTTTGCCGACAAGTTGATCATTGGCTAATTGGACCTTCAGTCTTTGAGAGGTCATAGAAGAAAAGTGCTTAAGCACAAGCCAGCTCTGGTTCCCAAGGGCTCCCTTTGCTAGTGGGGGGCTCTTAGCGGACCATAGCTATTATCATTGGGCTTTATTAGCATTAAGTCTTTGATCAAGTTTCTTCTTGATAATGTTGGAATTTGTCTGCCTGCAGGGCTTTATCATTTAGAGGGCTACTTTGTCTGGGGTCCAAGAACTTGGATTTTTTTCATATTTTGATAACTGTTTCAATCCTTTGTAATCCCATGTATTTTATTGTATACATTTAAAAACATTGTTCTGAGCAGAGGTCCAAGAGCTTCTCCAGAGGGGTCCTGGACACCAGGCTGTAGGGCGTAATAACAGAGTCCTATGATCTCCTCTAGGAGCGGTTAATCAAATATTTTTAAAAATTATTACTGAAGATCATCCCTTTTGAGCCTTATTAGATAGTTTGGTGGGTTTCTGTGGTAAAGACAATTCCAATAGTGGCAGGCAATGTGGAATAGTGGCTGAATTGAATACATTCTCATTTCAGTAGTAGTGGATGAGAGCCTGACTCAGAGCTAGGAAGACCTGGACTGAAGTCCTCTTTCCACTGAGTGACCCTAGGCAAAGCATTCAACCCCTCAGCACTCTCTGCTTCTGTAAGGCTGGAAATTGCTGAGAAGGGGCTGATTCCTCGCCAAAGAGTTCCCTATCCCACAGCAAACAACAGGTCAGTCCCCTGTCCTTCCTGGTCGCTGGCTTTCTAGAGGTGAGCCACTCCACAGTAAGCTCAGGAAGACAATGTAGTTTTTAAAATATTTAGTTTGAGGGCCTGATGTGGGCAAAACATCAAGGATGAGACATAACGTAACGCCTGATGGTGAGGTATCTTCTCCCCCCTGCCCCACCCCCAAACAGATGCCGTCCTTGGTCCAAGTGCTCATTGGCTTTCCCGTTTTCTCAGTGTGACCTCCACGTTGGGAAGAGGCTAGCAGGGAATGGGGGACTCCTTAGCGAATGGAGTCTAACCCCTGTGTCATGGTGGTGACCGTTATCATAGGTATGCTCAGCACCAGCACGTCCAGGCCCTCCCGGCTCAAGGCATGCCTGTGCTGTTTATTCATGGCTGGTCTATTATGGAGCTATAACCACTTAATTGTTCTTTTGCTTCTCATGTCCACAGTTTTATTTTTTTCTGGCTAGAACAATAAGAAAGTAATCTGAAGATGCTTTAAGATCATCTGAAGATGTTGTTGGTGTGTAAGATATTGTGGCTTTTTGATATAGTTTTAGAAAAAGTGTCTAGTTCTGTAAAATCAAAGGCATTTGAGAGTCTCAGAAGATGAGGAAGTTTTAGCAACATGAGTAGGCTAGGCAGTATGTCTGCCTGTGGTAGCATGTGCCCTTTTATAAGAAGAAGGTTTAGTAAGTGTCCTTTTCATCAGAAATCCCATTGCATTTCAGAATCTCTAGCCCCATGTTGATTTCAGGCAAGGCTAATTTTATCCTGGCCCCCTGACAGCATTCCCAGTGTTATCTCCAGTAATTTCGTCTGATTTTCTTTATGCACTGTTCACACAGCCAAATGCCATGTAGTACATAAAAATAAATTACTGTGGGGAGAGACTTTTTGATTCCCTTCATTTTTGGGGGGGTGGCTGTTCTCCCTTCTTTGTCCTTTGCTTGCATCCTCAGGTATCACAGATGCTTTGTTTTTCTTTCTTTTTTTTTTTTTGCAGATGACACAGTTGGTGCTGCCCGGCATGCTGGAAAGGTGAGTCATGAGCTCACACACAAATGCTATATCGACGGAGTTCAGTATTATTTATAGGGGAGAATCCTTTCTTTGAAAAATTCATTATGGTGACTAATCAAGCTAGCCTCCATTTTAACTTCTGGAGTGATACTGAGGTGAGTCATGGCCATGGTGTGTGAGTCATCGGCTGGTGGAAGCCATTTCCACTTGATTCCCTTTTTATTCCCCCTCTCCAGGGCTGTGGTGGCTTCTTTAGACCAGAATTAAAGAGCCTGTCTGAGTCATCCCCACTAACTCAATAACCTGCTTTTCTGAGGGGGTGGTTAGGGTTCCTGGGATGTTCCTGGGAAGAACCTTTTTAAAGCTGTGCACTCCTCTCCATTTGTAACCCAGATCTCTAGGGTTTGGTTAGCCAAGACACAGTCTTCTGTTTTGGAATTCTGGCGAGGAGAATGGGTGTATGTTGTACATAGGCATAGCATGGAAAATTCTAGTATGGGGAGCCAACCCGGTAAGGAAAAGAACCTGAAAAACATGTGCTGGTCTCACCTTGGCCCTAACTGGTATTGGATTGGAATGGGCTTTACTCTTCTTGGGAATTATATTATGGAGTCTTAATGTTTAAAATGTCACACACTCTTAAGAACAGCATTATGGTACCTCAGGAAAAATTCTATATATACATATACGTGTGTGTGTGTGTGTGTATGTATATGTATGTATGTATGTATGTATGTATGTATGTATTGCTCAAAAGTTCTAATTAGAGAAAGACCACATCTACCATTGAGGCCATGTGATGACTAGGAAGACAAAGTCTAGATGATGGCTTAGAATATTAGGTGAAGAAGGCAAGCTTCATCAAAGAGTAGAATCAGCCTTAATGTACAGCTAGAGATTTTTGTTTCAGCCAGGACAAGACAGAGAGACAGGTCAAAGGCAAAGGTGCCCAAAGTCAAAAAGACCCACAGGGATTAATGAGGTCAGTCAGCACAGGATGGTTAGCAGCCTAGAGGAAGAATCTTCCTTACCCAGGACGCCTGTGGAAAGATTATTTCCCCAAAAGCTTTGATGAGATGATATCAGGGGCTCGTGAACTTGTTTTTAAAGTATTTTAACAATTGTATTTCAATATAATTGGTTTCTGTGGTAAGCCTATGTACTTTATTTTATTTTTTTCAACTACATTCAGAAAAGGGGTCCCTAGGCTTCAGTATATGGCTAAAGGGGCCCATGGCACCAATAGGTTGAGTACTCCTGGTCTAGGTGATTGATTTTAGCTTCAGATCCTTTGATCACAGTGTGATCCATAGCTTAAGAGTGCTGCCATCCCAGTCTACTTCTTATTAGACATTTGAGTTTGTCTGTTAGATGTCTTTGGAGTCAACGTAATCCCTACCGTGAATAATACTGAGTCACTGGGAGCCTTGTTTGTCACGGTCCCAAGAGGGAAGGGGCTTCACCATCTCTCATCATCATCATCTGGGATTACCCCTTCAATCTCAGCTCTCCTTTTGGCTTTGGCAGCAGATACACTGGACTGGACTGGACCCTGCCTTCCAGGGATCTGGGTGTGGAAACACCTAGTTAACACACCACAGGCAAACTCAGAAGCAGATTGCAGGTTTTGAAGGGTAACTTTACTAAGAAAATTAGATTAAACAACAGAGAAAGCCAAGCCACACAAATTGTGTGAACTGGGTGGACTTAGAAGCAAGGGTGAACTTTCCTGAGGACAGCTTTCTAAAGTGGTCCAAATGTTTGTGGAGGTTGTCCCCAAAAGCATCTCTGGAGCCCAAGTTTGGTTGTGTCTTTGACTCGATCTAGCGCAGAGCCACTGTAGGCTCCTGGGCTGAGGAGAAAGAAGAGCGAAAGGGTGGGGAGGGAGTTGTTTGTGGGAGAGCCTGACATCTGTGGGTAGGTTAGGCTAGGCCAGGCCAGATCAGATTTGCTGCAGTCAGTGCTAAGGGACCAGTGAGGAATATAGGTGCAGTGCATTGGGTTAAGAGGAAAGTGCGACCACACGTTTCCCCTTCCACCATCATTTGCTAGGACAGAGTACTGCCCCACCCCCCCAATTTCTAAAGCATCCCTTGGAGCCTTTGCTTATATATCATACTAAGCAAGCCTTGACAGCTTGCCCTGTGCCCTGCCTGTAAATGGCATCCTTGATTTTGTTGAAGCTCCTGGGGTGGATAACACCGCTGAATGAGAGATGTATCCCTTAGAAATTGTCTTTGTTCTCCTCTGCTGTCTTTGCTCAGTTCTGGATGTGAGATAACAGAATGTCCAGTCCTCCAGAACAGTAGCCTTGAGACATTTGATCACTCACCCAATATCTCTGCAATCGGATGATGGTGTTATTGCTGCAGAAGTAGAAAGTGCATAATTGCATGATAGAGGGAGCTTGCGCTTCCCACTTCCCTGGAATTGTAAACATTGTGGACAGCTGGAGCCAGGAGGTGGTTGCCATAGCAACTTGGGAAAAGCTAAAAATAGCCTGTTTTCTCCTCTATTGCTTAAGGTGGCATCATGACACGTTGTGGGGTAGGTAATTTTTTGTCATCTGCTAAATGTTTGCAAACTTTCATCGACAAAGCACTGTTTGTGTACAATAAAGGTTTGGATGCTGAGCTCTCATTATGTGGCTGACCCTGGAGTTCTTGGATTCTCCTCGGGATTTGGTGCCTGCGCTTACGACATGTGTCTCAGGCCTTGGCAGGGGTGTGGGGGGAACCTGTCGAAATCCATTTCCATCTCCTGCTTCCACTCAATAGTGTGATGCTTCCTGAAAGCATGCATATGCGCTCTCTGGTCAAGGCCTGAGACATGCAGCACTGTGATAGAGGCCTTAGAAGGCCTCTGCTTCCAGCTGTCAGCTTCCATTCAGTCCCCACATCATGCTGTTCGATGACTCTTACTCTCCCACTTGGAAACCTTTGGTGGCTCCCTAGTGCTGATAGAACAATGATGTAGCCTTCAGTAGTAGCCTTCTTAGCCTAAATTAAGACTCTGCACCCTCTGGCTCCAGCGTGCATTTCCAGTCCTGTCTCCTGAGACCTCTTCTTCATCTACCATCTGTTCCAGACAAGTTGGCCATGCCTGGCCCTCACTCCTTCCTCAGTCTCCAGTTCAGCTCATGTGTTGTTATTTCGGAGAACTTTTCCTTATTTCCCCAGCTCCGAGTATCCTCTCCCTCCTGATATTTTCCTAGAGCCCTTTGGATGTCTCATTTGCAACTCTCACCTTTGACTTTCTGTAATGCTTATCTCTGTGCATGGTGCATCTCCCTTACCCCCCCCCCCACCACAACCCTGGTGGACCAGGAGCTCTTTCAGGGCTGGCACTGGGCCATTTTTTGGTTTTCACATCCCTCGCTCAGTAGACGTTAGTAGGTTTGCTTTGTACATACTGCACTTAACGTGAGTTCCCTCTTCGACAACACAGACCATGACTCATCCTTGCCCTTCTTACCCTTGCCTATAATAAATCCTGCACAAAGGGTTTATCCAACGGCTTAGGGCCCTTTTTCTCTACCTTTTGATAGTATGTGGTCGGGTGTGAGTGCAGCTTGTTAGGGTGTTTAGCCATCTGTTCTTTCTCCCTCTCATTACAGGATCAGCTCAACTCCCTTTCTGGTTGGTCTTCTCTGTGATACCTTTTACACTGTTTTTTTGCAGGTAGTTTACCATGGGTATCATATGATAGTAGCCCATTTATACTTCATATAGCTTTCTGTTGCCCTTTGAACAGGCTGCAGTTCTGATTCTGCAAAGATTGTAATAATTTGTGATTTGTAGCCATACAATATCACCAGAAAAATATTGGGCTTGAAAAATATGGGAGAGTTGCAGGAAAAAGCTTGGGGATCATTGGAAGTGCTGCCCAACTTCCCAAATGCAATTGAAATTTCTCTCCTACTCAATTCTGGGCTCATTTTATTGTTCCAACTGTCATGGATGTCTAAGATCCAAGTACTGATGGACCGCCTCTATGGTATATCCTTCCAGCAGCAAATCATCGTTTGACTAATAGGCATTCTTTAGCCAGATGGTTTTTTTATATGGATAGCTTTGCTCTTGAGTGACGATGAATCTCATTTGGAGCCTTGGCAGTGTTCCAAGGATTGATGCAATCAGCACAGTGTCATCCACAAACAGCAGAAGCATCTGGCTCATTTCACAGTCTATGGGGCTATCGTCCTCCATTCGGCATCCTTGCTGGACATCCTCTCGGGCAGTGGTCAATGCTTTTGTGAAGCACACGTCTCCCACTTTGAGCCCTCGTCGATATTACTAGTCCCAGGATGGGATGTTATCTCAGTTGCTGGGTCGTGGAATCATTTATGATCCTCATATGCACTAGATAACCTCTGGGGTCAGTCCTTGGAGCTTTAAATCAATGATGCCACTGGTGTGGGGGATGCTTTGTGGCAGGAGTGCTCCTGAGGCTGTGTATTGCTATGCCAAAGCTAGCCAGCCAGCACTGGGAGATCTTAGGAGCTTGGATCTTACGTTCTTTTGAGCCCTTCTGTGCCAGAAGAGATCATCCAACCGGAGAGTATTGTTTTAACGATCTTTTTGGCTCCCTTCTCGTATGTAGCTAGGATGCTCTTTATGTAAATTCTCAAAGATTTTGTTGAGATGAGATGCATAGCTTCTGGGTCAGTTGTTATAACCTCAGAGTTCCTTTTTTTGGTAATAATAACATCGTAGTTTTGTTCCCCCAATTGTTAGGTGTCTTCATATCTTTCAGAGATGTTGAGGATTCATTCTTAATCCCCTGAAAAGTGTTACAAGGTTCTTGAGATCTGCTTTCAGTTTTATCTTTGTAGCCCTAGAAGCAGCACAGTGCTTACATAAAGTAGGCATCTAATATTATGTTAAACGCTTGTTGAGCTGACGTGAATTTTTTGGCCTCCAAGGGCCTTCCTGGTGTCGAGTTAGTTGTTTTGGGCCTGCTTCCTGTTTCTCATTTTCTTTAGTGCTTTTTCTACTGTGTAGAGGGGAACATTAGGA